CATAAATAAAGTTGGAAAATAAACCAGTCTTAAAAAAAAAAAAGAGGTCAGTATGAATTAACTATAATTTATATCACAAATTTTTATCCAGCAGAAATGTCTTTATAAATTTTTATTTCTGCAAAAATGATGACCTTCGTCCAATAGCTGGACGTACACAATCAAAGTGCCCACAGCAGTGCTTAGCTGTCAAAAAAATTCAGCTAGGGCAGATCCCTGAGTGAGGTGGAAAGTTAGAGATTAATGACTCTACCCTAGCCCAATCAGTCTGTGATCCTCAGGGATAAACTTGTAGTCCACCAAATTCAGGGTTATTTATTTTTTCACCATTGCAGGGAGGAAGACCAAACAAATGAAAAGTTAGAGTTATCACAGAATTTAGGGTACAGATTGGTTTTAGGCAGAATATAAATAAATCAGTGTTCTGGTAAACTCAAAGTAAAGCAAGGGTGTCTATAAAGGGATCAACATAAGTTCTTGAATCTTATTTTATGGTTCAACTGCCTGAGCTGAAAAAGGGTGGCTAAGCTTTCCTGGTTGGCCTTTGATGAAGCTATTTTATGAATTTTGTTCTGAAAATCTATAATTCTCTACTTGGGCATATGTAATTAAAATTGGGTGGTCAGAGAAGTTCTCACTGAGAAGAGGACATCTGGGCTGAGACTTATGTGATAAATAGTAAGCCACAGAAAAATAGGCAGAGAGAGTATTTGGGGCACTGGATAAAGAAAGTTCAAAGAGACCACGCTTGAAATGAGATGGAAGAGTTAAAAGAAAGGAGAGTCAGGCTTGGAGCAGGTAGTTGTGGAGGTGAGGTAGGAAATAAATTAGGTGAGATAAATAGGAGTCCAATATGGTAGGGCCAAATATGCAAAGTTTAAGATTTGAAGATTTGATTTATAGATTTTTTTTCCTGGTTGATTCTTGGAAAATCACAGGTGAGATGTGGGGGGAAATTAATGCCACGGAAGCAGCGTAAAGAGGAGAGAATAGACAGCCATTTTCAAATCTATTTAGAGGTTGAAAAAGATAAGGAGAGAAAAATGACCATTGACAACTCAAACACATAAATTGCACCATTATTACTCACATAATAAATGTTCTGTGATCTACAGTATAGGGTGATGTGCCACTACAGTCTTTTCAGGAGAAAAAATAAAGTCGTTGCTTGAAATTGTAGGTAGTTAACAAATATCAGAGAAATGACTAGATTCACCATCACAGGATTGGTGGAGTGAAAAAAGTCTGGAAATTTCTGATATTCTTAAATATCGTGATTGTTAGTGTTTTTGAAGAAAAACATGTAGCTGTAAGAACCACACTACATAAGATAATTAAGACACTAATTAATGTTTCTGTCTTGTTGACATAATGGAAATAACGTACCACAAGAGAAAAATAGAATGCTGAATCAAAATTCATTATGTTCAGGAGTATAATCTTTACTTTAAAAATGCTAAGATAAGTTGGTCCCTTTATTTTGTGTATATTCTCAATTCAAGCAAGACAAAAGAAAGTATCTCATTTTGCATTATATACATATGCTACTACAAATTAAAGCCTTAAAAATCCAAAATTAAATTAATCTCAAAGTATAATGAAAAAAATCTATGATCATTTTTTGTATTCAGATGAAAATGGTAGAAATAATATGTCTTTTTGGCCCAAAAAGCATAAATATTTATTCTCTTCAGGCTAAATGTTATTAACTCGTTATTTTTATGTTGTTAAGGCAAGCATGAACCAGTCTCTCAAAACTTTTGCTTTGGATACGACATAGTAGATAATGCCATGATAATGTTCCCATTGTGGCAACTACAAAAAGACAAATACATTGCCAAAATCATATATTAAGTCATCAGAGAGCTAGGGAAACAAGGATAAGACCAACAAAAATTCAAGAGACAGGAGAACCATTGAAAAGCAAGTTGACAATTGCACACCACTTTCTCCCCCCGGAACTATCTGCTGATTCTGGACATGGGCTAAGGATCAATCTCGGCCCAGGAAGAGGGCTTCTCCTAGGGGAAGGAAGAAAAGCCAACAGAGCTTTTGGTAGCCATACAGGACTGCAGTAAAAACCTCAGAACTTTCATGTCTCAAATGCACCATTTTCTCCTACATTTCCTGAGGACTGTGGCTGCTCTCAAAGCTGGGGAACTAAGCCAAATATTCTAAAAGGCAATATGAAATTTCTTGCATTCCTGCCAGGGTGAGGAGGCATGACCAAACCATGTCTTAACCTCTCTTTTCTGTCATTTTTCAAAGTTTGAAGCCACATGGAGTGGAGTCTAAAGAGATAAGTTAAAAGACTGAAGGGAAGAACTGAATCTTCCATAGTTATTTGTAAGACTGAGGAGAAAAGGGCCTTCCAGGATCTTAACTGAAATCTCTAAAGACTTCTGCTCTAGGAATAAGAGTATAGAAGACAAAGACTGAGTCTGACTAAAACTCAAACCTGGTCTTGACTCAGGCCAAGGCCTCAATGGAGTGAGTGGTCAGCTGCTTGCCTTGTTTGTACAACGAAAGATAGAGAAAACACTTCTGATGGAAGACAACATCATCTGCAGCCTCTATAGGTTATTTATTAGATTATCAATCATAAAATAAAAAACTACTAGACATAAAAACAGGAAAAACTTTATGATCAGTGATCAAGGAAAAAGCTAAAAAGAAAAGCAGACTGATAGATGACCCAGTAATTGGAGTTATCAGACAAGGACTATAAAATTTTAATAAATATTTTCTTTAAGAGAGAAAATATGGTGAAATTATTTAAAAGTATGAAGAATTTATCCAGAGAATTAGAATCTGGGAAAAATTTAAATGAATATTAGAAGACTGAAAAACCTGATTATCTGATAATAAGCTTTAATGAATGACCAGATTTTACAGAGCAGAACAGGATTAGTGAACTGGAAGATAGATTGATAGAAATAACAGAAACTGAAGTAAGAAAGAGAAAAAAATAATGACAAAAATAATAATAAATGAGCATAAGACACATAATAGACACACTCAAAATTTCTAAATATATTGAGAGAGGAGAGAGAAAATGGGGCAGAAATAGTGTTCAAGGAGATAATTGCTGAAAATTTTCCAAAACTGATGAAAAGTATAAACTCACATACTCAAGAAGTTCAGAAAATCCCAAGAAGGATACATGCAAAGCAAACCACATATAGACACATGGTAATAAATATTCTGAAAAAACAAAAAGACAAAAGAAAATCTGAAATGTTGCCAGAAATAAAAGCACAATACATTCAAAGGAGCAACAATAAAATTTTTAGGTGAATTCTCAATATAAAAGGAGAAAGATGGCAATAGAAGGAAATTTTTAAAGTTCTGAAAAAAATCCCTGCCGATTAAAAATTCTATACCGATGAATAATTTTTTAAAAAATGAAGACAAAATTAAAACATTTTCAGATAAGCAAAACCTAAAATAATTCATCTCTTGCATTCCTACACTAAAAGAAATAATAATGGTGTTTGATAATACCTCTATTTATGTTTGCTCCTATGGATAGAACATTAATATTTTATTAATATAATGGTGTGGCATATTTCAAAAGCAGTAAATAAATCTTTAAAAATATTAGATCTTACGGCATTAAGTGGAAAATAACACAACAGAAATGTCAAATACACCTTTGGGGAGGATTATAAAATAATAAAGTTGAATGGCCACCACATCTCTTTTTTAAAAACTTTCACTTAGCCTTTTTTGTGTAAATCATGTTCACTGAATAACTGATAGACAATTCAGACTAAAATTTTTACAAAAATCACCTGTATCTTATGATTCATATATATGCACCAATCATATGATTTTAGCATAGGTTTATGCATACATGCATAGAAAATATATTTTAATCCATAATATTTAACTTTCTGATCTGGAATGTACTTCTCTGTCCTAAAAAAGCATATTTAGAGCATAGTCCAGTCACCAAAGACACAGACCCACTATGTGGGTTTATTTCTCACTGGTCTATTATATTATATGTAATTCATGTGCTGTCATTAATTTAGGCAATATTACTCTTTTTTTCTTTTGATGAGAGAGATTGGCCCTGAGCTAACATCTGTGCCAGTATTTTGTCTATTTTTTTTGTATGTGGGACACCTCTACAGCATGGCTTAACGAGTGGTGTAGATCCATGCCCAGGATCCGAACCCACGAACCTGGCCTGCCAAAGCAGATCATGCCGAACTTAACCACTATGCCACCGGGCCAGCCCAAGGCAGTTTACTCTTTAGAAATCATTTCTTATACTTCACCATAATTTTTGGTTAACGATTACTTAATATACTATTAGGTATATAATGTATTTTAGCCAAGCAGTAGACTATTGTTAAATATTTATTTCCAAACATTTAAAAGTAGGAATAAAAATGTCATGAACATAAGAAATAATAAATTTTTGCTCCATTTTGTGTTCCAGGAAAGAGAAGAAAAATATAAATACACATATACATATAATTTATGCTAAAATTATAAGGTACAGATGAATTTTTTTGTAATAATTTGTGTGGGAAGTAAAAATTTGAATATGCAGAGGTTATTGAGGAGAATGGCAGAAGAAATGTGCATAAGAGGAATAAAACAAGTACAGCTCTTCATAGTTTAAAATACATCAGAAAAGAAAATTTTAGCAACTATCCAAGAAGAGCTACTGTCTCCAGTTCATATTATTCCAATAGCCAGTCTAAGGTTATAGGGTATAAGTGGTTTAAAGAGGTGAACTGATCTAGTTCTTAACTCTATGAATGAGAAAACTAAGCACCTAAAGACACTGAGATCTAATGACTAATTAGAAGTTTTGGAAGAAACATGAGCAAAATTGTCCCAATGCTGTTGCTCTAGAGACACCAATACCTGGAGTCATTCAACTAGTTTCGCAGCTGTACATTACCACACCCTGAGACTAAAGCTCACCTCATTCATAGAGAGAATTATTGAGAAAAGTACAATGTTAGTTTCCATCACTACATTCATTTCTGCCTTGTAAAGAACACATGAACTACCTGGTCCCTGATCTGTTTTGTCTTGATCCCATAAATGATGGGATTCAGCATAGGTGGAACAAGAATATAGACACTGGCCAGCAGGACATGGATATGGGGTGAGATATGATGTCCAAATCGCTGAGTGAGGACTGAGAAGATGCCCGGTGCATAAAAGAGGATGATGACACAGACATGGGAGCCACACGTGTTGAGAGCTTTGTGGCGAGTATCTCGGGAAGGGATGTGGAAGACAGTACGGAGAATGAGCACATAAGAAATAAAAATTAGCACATCTATGACCAAGGTTGACATTAGGACAAAAAACACATACCAGATGTTTACTTGTATGTCATCACAGGAAACATGGGCCAAGACAATGTGCTTACAAGCAGTGTTTGGGAGGATGTTACTTTTACAGAAAGTCAATCTTTTCAGAAGAAATACTATGGGGAAAACTGTACCATAACTTCTCAGAAAGATAGTCACACCAATTTTCCCTATAAGTGCATATGTAAGAATAGTGGTGTATCTCAGTGGGTAGCAAATGGCAATGTAGCAGTCAAACGCCATCACCAGCAAGATCCCTGACTCAAAGATGAAAGTGGAAGAGAGGAAGAATACCTGAGTAATACAACGATCAAGGGAGATCTTCCCAGCATGGAACCAGAAGATGGCCAAAGCTTGTGGTACTGTGCATGTGGAGAGGACAATGTCTGCTCCAGCCAGCATGCAGAGGAAGAGGTACATGGGTTGATGGAGGCTACTTTTTGTGAGGATAATGCAGATGAGCAGGCTATTCCCAGGAAGGGCAATGACATAGGAAATGAAGAAGGGGATGGAAATCCACACATGCTGGTCCTCAAGGCCGGGGATGCCCAGCAAGCGGAAGACTGTGTGGCTAACACCAGTGTGGTTTAAGGAAGCCGTGTCTGGCGAGACCACTTGAGACTCCACCATCTGTGTACAGAGACAGAGAAAAATACAGATTACATTCAAAGATTTTCTTTGATATCATCAGCACTTTTGGCACCTTACCTGATCCCATTCAATTCAAAGAATGCCAGAAGCTATGTTACATGTAATGATGAAGACTTAGTTTGTTCTCTAAATGAGATCTTAATCACAAAACAAGATAGACATTTATATAACTAAAGAAAATAAAATTATTTAATTAATATCTTAGTTGTACAAAATAAAATTAATACAGTAACACAAGAGAAGAAGTAATGCATTCTGTATTTGTGAAGTTTTTGAGAATGAGTACATATCCAAAGTTACCCTTGAAGATAGTGTAACATGTCAATAGGTGGGAGGAGTGGCAAAAAGAATTTTTCTTATGGGAGGCACTGAATAGAGCTAAGGAGCTCAGGGATTAAGGTCTAGTCCATAGGTGAACTTGCATGTACTACAGTGGTTGATTGTTTAACCCAAGGTCACTATAAAAAATTTCTCAAATGCTTCATGAAAGTTTTCACAGCCCTGATCCAGATGTCTTCTGCATCCTGGAGAAGTCGTCTCAATGTTTCTGCTTTGTTCTGCTGAGAGAATTACCCCTGTTTGGGGCACTTCTCACCTCCTTCATGACACATCTGCCCTTAAGTTACTCTTTTGCCGGCTTTCACAAGGAGTCTCATATCAGAGTACTTATCTCTCAGATAGGAGCATATCTGACTACCTGTCAATGATCCCCCAATTGACTGTGAACTTTCTGTGGTCTGAGTAGTGCCTTTTTCCTTTGTGTATTTCTGGAACCTAGCACACTGAAGCACAGCATAAGTCCTCAAAATGTTCAACAAAACAACCTAATAACAAATATTAAATGAGTGTGATAATGAGCAAGGAAGTCATGAATAAGGCCCTTTAAATACTTTGGATGTTTACAATAGTCAGGATCTGGAGGCCAATACAGAACCTTATCTGTAGGGACTCAGGGGTCATTGGTACATTAAGAGCTAAACAGTTCCTCAAACCCAGAGTCTCTTTGCTCTCCACTCCATGATAGCACTTTACCTTCTCCTAAGACATTCCATAATTGTGACTCTGGTCCAGTGGTATGCTGGTAAACTGGCTCATCAAAATATATACATATATATACACACACACACACAAATATATATAAATAAAATAAATAAAGCTTGATTTGTAGTGTTTTTCAGCTTCCATGATGCATATACTCCCACCATGGACCATTTTAAGGGACCAATATGATATCACAATATCTACAGTTGATGCTCATAAACCTGTATAAACGGCTCCAGCACATAACTGCTCTATTCTTTCCAACTGGGTCTATTTCACTCCAAAAAAAAAAGGTCTTAATATTTTCAGCCACCTGTTTTATGTCCCATAACATCTAGTCAGGAGCAGGTCTTCCCGCCTGAAATTTCCCCTCACAACAAAAAAATTCACTCACCAGCTTCAAATGGAGTTCTCACGGGCTAAAATGGGATTAGTCGCCAAAGGACTCTCAGAGTGATGGGGGCCAGGGACCTGAGATTTTACACATTTGCCTGAAACCCTCAGGGACAACTATTACCCCAGGCGGTGCAGACATAGCGCTGTCCTTTCAACAACACCCTTTCTGACCCATACATTTGGGTCCCATTGTTATGGCTCTTCAACTCTGCCCACACCACTTCTTCCTCCTCAACACCATTCCTGGATTAGGTGGGCACATGTGCCTTCTTCAAATTAATAAACTGTTAGCATTACTGCACAAATATTCCTGTTTCCATTTTAATGAGAATTAGCAAATATTAATTCCACTTTCAGTCCACATGAATAATTTGAAATTAACATATAAATTATTTTAAGCACTGATTATAACAAATATATTCCTTCAAAGTTTAGACAAACTTGAAATTAAATATATACCATATGTTTAAAGTCATTTAAACTTTGGAATTTATAATAATAATGTTTTAAATATTAACATGAGAATACTTTAATATCTTTTTTTAATCTATTTACACTACCCATGTGAGTCAAGGTCAACAATGAAAAATGTTCTGTACTCTTTTCTCTTTTGGCTACCAAATAGTCTACATTTACTTTTCAGTTATCTTATCTAGTAATGCGCCTCTTATTGACACAACGGTCTCCTCTTTTTTATATTGTGTTCCTTATTTTTATTTAGTTAATCCAAGTAAATAGTACATACATATTTGTAAAGGAGAAACAGCTTTATGTCTAACAATCATCTTCGTGTCTGTGTGTGGTAATAGAACCACAGAATTCTAATTGAAATGTTGTAAGAAGCTGATTCAAAAAAACTCTACTCCCACTTAAATTAGAGAGGAGCTCGATAAAAATTCTTACTTATTTGTTGTTGTTGATGAGTTGTACTTTCATTATATGAATATATCTGTTCTCATTGGTGGAGGCTCTGAAGGTTAATGTTATCCACTAGTCAACTTGCCTAGGCCACAGTATCCAGCCATTTGGTCAAACACTAGTCTGGATGTTGCTGTGAAGATATTTTTAGATGAGATTAACATTTAAATCAGACTTTCACTTTGAGCAAAGCAGATTACTCCTCATAATGTTGGTGGGCCTCATCCAATCAGTTGAATGCTTTAAGAGAAAACAGACTGAGGTCCCCTCAAAAAGAGGGAAGTTTTCCTCCAGGCTGTCTTTGGACTAGAGCTGTAACACTAGCTCTTCCCTGGGTCTCCATCCTGCAGCCTACCTTGCAGATTTGGGGCTTGCCAGCCTCCACAAGTGTGTGAGCCAATTCCTTAAAATAAATAAACACACACACACACACTATTGGTTCTGTATCTCTGGAGAACCATGACTAACACAGAGGCCAAGGGTATTTTTTATGGACATAATTTTTTATTTCTTTTGGGAAAATGCCTGGGATTTGAATTGCTTGGTCATGCAGAAGATGTATATCTGATTTCATAAGAAACTGCCAAAACTTCTTTCAAAGTGGCTGTACCGTTTTACACTCTCACCAACATGGTATGAGAATTCTAGTTGCTACACATCCTCATCAACATTTGTTATTTGTCTTTATATTTTTAGCAATTGTGTTAGGAGGCTACTGGTGCTTCATTTATGTTTTAATTTGCATTTCCCTAATGACCAATAAATACTGAGCACACTTCTTGTGTGCTTATTGTGCATTTGCATGTCTTCTTTAGTGAATTGTCTTTTCTAATGTGTTGCCCATTTTTTAGTACATTTCTTCTATTTTTTTTATTGAGTTATAGGAGGTCTTATATATCCTGGATACCAGTCCTTTGTCAGATGTATGTTCAATGAATACATTCTCTTGGCCTGTAGCTTGCCTTTTTAATTTTTTAAATGTATCTTTTGATGAGAAAAGCTTTTATTTTAATGAAATATGACTTACAAATGTGTTTTATATGTATGGTTATTTTTTTTTGTGACCTAGTAAGAAATCTTTCTCTACCCTCATGTCATGGAAATATTCTCCTGTTTCCTTCTAAAACTTTTATGGTTTAAACCTTTACATTTAGATCTATGGTCATATTTGGATTAATTTTTATAAACAGTGTGAGGTAAGAGTAGAGATCTATTTGTTTCTATATGGATATACAGTTTTCCTAGAACCATTTTTTAATATGACTCTTCTTTACTCATTGAATTGTTTTGTCAACTGTGTTGAAAAATCAAATGTCCCTATAAGTAAGTTTCCATTTCTGGGATCTCTATTCTATTCTGTTGATCTATTTGTCTATTTTTATGCCAGTACCACACTACTGAAGCTTTACAGTAAATATTAAAGTAGAGTAAGTTCTTCAACTTTTTGTTCCTCTTTTCCAGATTGCTTTAGATAGTCTAGGTCCTTTGCATTTCTATCTGAAGTTTAGAATCAACTTGTAACTTTCGGTTTAAAAACCTTCCTAGGAATATGATTGAGGTTCTAATGAATCTATAGACCCTTTTGGGTAGATTTGAGTCTTAATGATATTGAGTCTTCTAATCCATGGACATGGTATGTCTCATCTGTTATTTAGGTCTGCTTTAATTTTTCTCAGCAATATTTTTTAGTTTTCTGTGTGGGGATCCTGCATCTCTTTTACTAAACTTGTTCTTAGATATTTTGGGGGGACATTGATCCTATAGTAAATGAAATAATTCTTAATTTATGTTCTGGTTACTTGATGCTCTTATATAAAAATACAAATATATATAGATATATATAATTTATTTATGTATTTTAAACTTGCATTCTATGACACTACTAAATTCAATTACTAGTCCTGGTAGTTGTTGTGCAGATTCCTTAGGATTTTCACATACCTTATAATATCATCTGCAAATCAATACAGTTATATTTCTTCCTTAGCAACTTGAATACATTTTATTTATTTTTCTTCCATTATTGTAATAATGTTGAATAAAATTAGCGAGACTGGGTATACTTGCCTTGCTCCTGATTTTAGGGAAAAGTGTTTAATTTCACATTTAAATATAATGTTACTGGCTGATTTCACATGGATGCTATTTGTCAGGTTTATAAAGTTGAGGAAGTTCCCTTCTACTCCTTGTTGCTGAGAGTTTTTATTCTGAGTAAATCTTGAATTTTGCCAAATGCTTTCTTCATATTGTACAACTTCACAGAAAATATGGAAACCTCTGCAGCTGCATTCCCTTCATCACTCCGTCTCTTTCTATAATTGTTATATGTATTATGTCTGCCTATACATTATAAACCCCCCAGGACAATGTTATAATTTTTGCTCTAAATAGTCATGCATATTTAAAGAAATCAAGATGAAAATAAATTTTTGTATTTAATCCAATATTTGCAATTTCTGATACAATTTTCTTCCTCAGGAACCAAGTTTCCATCTAGTATCAGTGGTACCATTTCCTTTCAGCCTGAAGAACCTCCTCTAGTATTTCTTGTATTGCAGTTTCCGGACAGCAAGTTTTCTTGGTGTCTTTTATTTGAATATATCTTTATCTCAGCTTCTTTAAAG